TAACTTACAAATATATGAAGACAGAAGCGCGAAACTTACTAGTTACAGGTATGTTACAGGAAGGTTACAACGAGTAAAACGCGAATATAACCCTCAATACCATCCCTATAACCTACCTGACGTACACATCGCTGCGTACGTCTTACCTGTATGTAAGACGTACGCAGCGATGTGTACGTCAGGTAGGTTATAGGGAGGGTATTGGGGGTTATATCCGCGTTATATGCCCTACAACCTCCCTGTAACCTACTTGTACCTTACAAATATATGAAAATAGAAGTGCGGTGCTTACTAGTTACAGATATGTTACAGGAATGTTACAGCGAGTAAAATGCGAATATAACCCTCAATACCCTCCCTATAACCTATTTTCATATTTGTAAGTTACAGGTAACTTACAAGAAGGTTACAGTGAGTAAAACGCGAATATAACTCCTCCTATAACCTACCTGACGTACACATCGCTGCGTATGTAAGACGTACGCAGCGATGTGTACGTCAGGTAGGTTATAGGAGGAGTTATATTCGCGTTTTACTCACTGTAACCTTCTTGTAACTTACCTGTAACTTACAAATATATGAAAACAGAAGCGCTGAACTTACTAGTTACAGGTAGGTCGAGTAAAACGTGAATATAACCCCAATACCCTTCCTATAACCTACCTGACGTACACATCGCTGCGTAGTCTTAAATACGCAAATTTTTGTCGAAGTCAGGGCTATGGTTGTGTTATTTTTATGATGTGATGCGATTATTATTATTATTATAAAAAACAGAATCATCACTTTGGATGAAGATTTCACGTAGAGTAAATATTTGCCATGTGACATGACAATTTTTGCCCACTTTATTTATTATTTTTAAAACAATCTATTTTAAATATAAAATTTTTAATTAATTCCATTTTTAAACTTTCGCCTTTACATAAATACCACAATTTTATCTAAACTTTTGTATTTATATATATAACATGTCCTTACTAATACCCAATAAAAATTTTCATTATTTTCAAAAATTTTTTTTTATCAAATACATATTTTCACGCTGTGTTAACTTATGCAATAAAAGATATATTTCACATTTTTAAATTTTAAATAATTATATTTTTTATTATATATGTAAAAGAAAAATGTTTAGGTGGTTGATATGTAAATAAATGAGAGTCGGGTAATTTTGTAAGTAAATTCTACTTCCTTTTATTGCTAGAATTTAAGAAGGCAAGCGGAATAATACGTGTTGTTTTTTTTACATACAAATAGAAAATCTATTTTATTATTAATTTAAAACGATAAAGAATATATCATAAATGTGCCTGAAAGGAAATATTATTCAATATTCACGTGGGTTCATGTAACTTTTTACATTATTGTTGTGGAGTAAATTAATTGTATGCTTCTAAAAATTCGGCTATTAATGCAAATTATTTTCAGAATGAATTTTGAATGTACTTAAATTCAACCATTACTTACATTTATTTTATTTGTGCGAGCATCATCATGTGTGTATATATATATATATTATATATAAATCGTGTGCATCATTAGATGACAAATAAGCAGCTGCGTTGTCAGTTGTAAGTCCTTCAGAGCCTGATTCTATCTATACAGGAACAGATAACACATAAGAAGCGGTATTCTCTAAGTACCACATTTTTTTAATATATATATATATCAAAAAGAAATTGTCAGAGGCTATTGTACGAGCCTCGGTCATCTCTCATGTGCCTAAGAATTAGAGTATCATACCCTATACTCGGGGGGAATTGAATCCCAGACTAGAGACTTACAACTAACGAGTAGATGCCCGACTAACTGATCTAAATTAGATCTTCTCTTGTGGTCATATATATATATATATATATCACAAACTTATTTCAAGTTCTCTGTTAGGCATGATGAAGTTGTGGGAGTTTGAAGCAAATGGAAGTGGAACAGTGAAATTTTAAAGTTGTTAAATTTATTAGACAACAAACTCAATATAATTTAGATGAGATAACTTTCAGAGTAAAATTCATTATGCTAATAAATTGATAATCAAAATGAGGGTCTCAGTAAGTCAAAACAAACAATATTGAAAATGATATGACCCAAAATCAAGCGCGCCCAAATCAACTGTTATATACTTGTAGTTCAATAAAGCGTCTTCCCGAGAGAAATCCAATATGCCTATGATCACTCCGAAAAAGAAAAAATCTAAGATTAATTGATTCAATATGAGGTGTCCAAAAAAATATTAGATTCAATTGATTCAAGAAAAAAACATGAGTGAATGTGAGGTCGCCGCCTTTAGCATTGATGGGATCCACAACCACCAGAAAGCCAATCTTATTAGCAATCTTTGGAAGCTCATATTCAATCAAACAGTAAAGATGTATTTTAAAAAATATGAAAAAATGATTTTCTTAAAGTCCTCTCATAGGTCTAAACTCATAACTCAAATCATTTAATGATAAAAGGCCTGTCACTAATGAACCAAGGGTCAGAGAGTAAGACTACGTCAAAATCTTTAGCATGCGAACTTAAAGAAGAAGAAGCGCTTAGCAAGAAATAGAAGATATATGTTACCTTTGAGATTTCATAGTTTATATATGATTTGAATAAGGTTAACATAGAAAGGAAGTATGTTGAGCACATGCCCACTCCATTGCTTCGAACTTTCTTTTATTTCTTCATCAGAGACAGCAACCTTATCCTCATTACTACGAATGAAGGTAAGGTCCACATCACAAGAGAAGAAAGAATACCATAGAAGGCTACTAGGAAATGACAAAAATAAAGGGAGGAGCCAAACAAGCAAGAAAAATCCTAAACAGAGCAAAAAGTAAAAATGGTTTTTTAGTTTTGTTTTTTTTATAAATTAAATACAGTTGCTTAAAATAAAAAAAAAAATCCAAAAAATTTAAATTTTACATATACCACACTTTATTAACATAAACCTATATATAAAAAAATGTCTTTTAAAAAAAATTAATAATAATAATAGTATTGATGTAATATTAAAAAAACGAATGTTATGCATGTCAATATAAAAATTTAAATATTAGATAGAAAAATTCATAAAAATTGTGTTATTGATTTAATTGCATCAATAAAAAAAAATGACCTTGACTTATTCATCATATATCTAATTATAAAAAAAAAATTCACAAAGGCAGCACGCAATTTTTATGCATTTACATATAGGGGTCTAAACGAGCCCAACATGAACAAAATGAGGCTCAGCTTGTGTTCGACTTGTTTATATTTAGAGGTCAAAAAGTGTGTTCGTGTTCGGTTCATTTGCTTAGTGAGCCGAACATGAGCTGTTCACGAACAAAGATTTGTTTTGGTAACCACAATCACGTAGTTAAAAGATGTTAAGAGTTGGGGCAAGATTAAAAATTATTGTTTAGATTAAAATATCATTTGAATCTAATTTAATAATTTTATAAAATATTCTTAATTAATAATTTTAATTGATTATAAATCTTTGTAGTCTTGCAGTCAATTAATTTTTTGAAAATACTACTCATCAATACATATAGATATCATATATATATATATAACATGTGTGTTTATATCTAGAAAATTCACGGCGGTAGAGTAATAGATTATTATCTTAGCGTTGCGCGATGATTCAACACATACTCAGATGAAAATAAATCAAGCTGTGAAGACACCAAAAGTTTTTACATGGAAAACCGTAAAGGGGAAAAACCCAGGGTCAGGCCCAGTTGTAAAAATTTACTATAAGTTTATGATTACAGATGTCATTTGTCCAACAGGCGTGAAAGAGTTACTAGCTTTCTAAGTTACAATGTTGACTGACGACGTCTAGTCAGCGATGGTCGACGGAGATCGGTGGTGATCAACGGCGAACGACGGTAATTAATGACGGTCAGCGGTGACCGATAGAGGTCAGCGGTGGCTGACGACATTCGATGACGGTCGGTGGTGGTCGACAGAGGTCAGCGGTGATTGACGGTGATTAACGGTGGCCAGCGTTGGTTGACAAAGGTCGGCGGTGATGGTCGACGGTCAGTGGTGGTCGGCGGCGATTGACGATGACAGAGATGATCTTGGATATGATCTTGGACTTGAGCTCCTTCTCAAAGCCTCAAGTTATCTCTTAAACCTTCTCTCTTAAGCCTCCTCCCCTCATGTGAGGGGTGAGACTCTATTTATAGTTTTTTGAGTGCAATTAATGCAAGAATATGAACCATTTTAATCGGACGGTCCGGAGAGCATCCCTTAATCATATGACATTTGATGGACATTTTAGTGCCTTAATGATGTTTGAATTGACCAATCTTGGGCTCATTTGATTCGTCCTGTTGAGATGCTCGATTCGACTTATGAACTTGCTAGATTCGACATCCGTTTGACCTTTCAAATGCCTCCGAAAATCATCCAAGAGTGGTTTAATGATTTGATCTGGGCTTGATTTGACTCGGATTGTACTGACTTTTATATCATCAGGTCCGTCTCATCAAGCCGATCAGTTTGACTATAAGTTTGCTGAAATCAAAGCTCTGAATACTCTTAAACAAAGTTTGAATGTTTCTTGTTTGAAAAATTGCACCGAAATTCGTGCTGGTAGATGAAAATTTGTTGGTAGTATCATATATATATATATATATATATATATATATACTATGAGTAGTATTTCAAGAAAAAAATGAGTTGAAGACGAACGAATAAATCTTTGTTCATGTTCGACTGATTAACTCAACAAATCATCTGAACACAAGCTTTTTAAAAAATCAAACAATAACGAGCTGTTTTTGGCTGCCCTATTTACATACCTCACGCTTAAACTTCCATATTCACAAAGTATTTTAGCCTTTTGAACCTATGCTTAAAAAATGTGCATTTGAATTTTTTCTAAAAAATATGATAGAATTGATTGCTGTGCGAACATATAAAATGAGTTATTTACTTAAATGCCCCTTAAAGAAATGATGATACTATATATTATAAGATAATACCAAACTATAAGAATGTAGAATATGAACTCCGCCCTTACTTTAAAAAGCACTTTTTCCTCCACACAACTGAATCTTATATTCAAAATGTTCATTCTTCCATTATAGATCCAATATCCCCGACAATATTTCTCACAAATTTACAATCTAGTCAGGCATATTGTCATAAAACCCCATACACATTACAAAATATCAACATAACAAAAAAATAATAATAACATGAGGTATGCACTGCCCGCTAATATATTACACATTTTCAGTGTATGTAGCTTTCCCCCACTTCCAATACTCTTTAACCATTTCCCAATGAAGCACCCTCTAGGCCCTGCTTGCTCTCTAGCTCCCCATCACACGCTTCCCGGTGATCCTGACACGCGCGGCCCCACGAACACCAAAAGGTTCACACGCGTGGGTGCGTCAGAACCCGGTGTACTTACTTCTCACGAACTCCGAAGCTCCATCAAAGTCCAAAAGCTGCCAGACTTTCTCCGGTCAATCGGCTCAGATCCCCTTTGACCCAACCCTATGCACCCCAAGTCTTTAATTCCACAGTGAGCCCCTCTCTGGTATACTTATATAATAATACACAAATGGGCCGGAAACGAGCCGGCCTAGCCTCCCGGTCTAGAGCTCCACACGTGTGAGAGTGATCCCCTCGCACGCTTCCTGCCTCCTCGTGACACGTACGGGCATCCCTCGCTTCATCCTGACCGTGGGGAAGTTCACCACCTGGTCCTCCTCCGCCACCCACCTGTCGACCAAGCGTGCGAGCAACGTCGCCATGAATGTTATCAGACATATAGGCTTTTAAATGTCTTCATTTGCTTAAATTTTAAAATAAAAAAAAAAAATTATTCCAAGGCTTTTATTTTGTAATTATGTACTATTATTCGTCCTTTATGCCATTGTTTGTTAAAAAAATAAATTTAAAAAAATGAAGAAAAATTGCTATAAAATTCTGTTGACAGTCTTCAGTCAATAATAGCAACTGGGACCAAAATTCTATTTTGTTTGACCATTTTGTCGGGAAATATCTCCAATAAAATAATAAAAATATTTTATTTCTGATGGTAAATTCTATATTTCTAATATTTGGCACATAAGTTAATTTATAAGCCAATCTACAAATGCACGCACATTAATACTCAATATGCATAAAAGGAAATTAGGTGTTATTTCTTGAAACATGACAAGACATTAATGAAGGCAAAATAAAAGGGCAGGGAACCAAATAAGCACGCACGGGGCATCTTTCACCAACAAGATAGAACTATAAAGCAGTAGAGCGTACGTACACACATGCATGCATAGGGGTGAGGCCCAGTAAGTACGTGATAGCGATGTATGAAGCTAGGCGCATCTACTGATTCATGTGGTCAAGTATCTATTATGGTAAGGTGGAAGATGAATCGGATTCCCAATAGTAATGGTCCTGCCTTGTAATATGCATGCATGGGATGCATGCATGCATGAGGTCATCATTAATATCATCGTTGGGGTTGGCACGTGTGCATCATGGCACGTGTGGAGACATGGATTAGTAAGGGAAATAAAAGGTGAATTTTATGGTAAGTAATGCTTACGTGAAGCTGGTGACGAAATGGTGGAGAAATATGGAAGCTTCCAGCCTGGCCAGATCAAGCCCGGGGCAAAGCCGTTGCCCGCCTCCAAATGGAGTAAAGTTGCAAGTACTCACGTCCTTCGCCTGTTCGTTTCAATCAACAACATAATTGTCATAGCAACATGCTTACACAAGTGAGCCCATTCATACACAGACATTATATATATATATATATAATATATATATGAGAATTTTATTAACATAAGTACGAAAATTCATATTTCATAACTACTAGTGTTAATCATGGTCATTTTAAGTACATGAATATACGAAAGTTGATAGAGTTTATTTTATCACTCATATAAGTATTAACATTAATTAGTCTGCCAACTTATCATGCAATAGGACAAAACTATATGGATAATAAACAATATAAAATATACTATATAAATTCCTTAAGATTAGTAAGGAAATATAGCCAGAATTCCCAAAAAAATTTGAAAATAAACACATATTATATAGTAGTAGTTCAAAAGTGACAACTTTATATATATTTAAATAGGTATTTGTGAGACTTATAATTACCTTCCACCTCCATGGATTGAAGCTGAGGGGATCCTCGTAGATTGTCTCGTCGAGGTGAACTGACCTGAAGTAGGTGAAAACACACCAGCCCTTGGGAATGAAATGCCCCTTCACTTCCACATCCTTCACAGCCTTGCGCATGATTCCTCCTATTATGTTTCCTAGCCTTAGGGTCTCCGTTATGACCTGTCAAAATTTAATTTTTATATGAATTTCTTTGCATCAGTTATAATAGGATTTGAAAGAAATTGTCTGTAATTTTACTTACGTCTTGTGTAAATGACAATGACATGTAGTCATTCCACTGTAATTCTTGACCATGGTGAGATTTCCTTTCCTTGAGCTCCATGTTCTCCTCCTGGTCATTATTTAACTCAAATTGATGAGCATTCTAATTAACATATGCAAACATTGAATCAGAAATTTATCAGATATATTCTCCTGTGACGTGATTTTACTGAACTTCACATGTAATTCTACATGCTGAGTCCTAATATAATATTTTTTCCAAAAATCATTTTTTTCTATAGAAAAAAATAGATCATCTTTTCTTAACTTTATTTAAATCCACACCATACAAGATATTTTGCCCGGGCGGCCTTCCATGACCTCCACAAAAAACTCTCCGCAAAAAGACATAATAAATCCTTTAAAACAAAATTGCATTTTTTTTTTCTTTGAAAGTACTGCTAAAATATCTTATTGTCAGAAACAATTTTCTTAAGTACGATGAAAGATAAATATTTGTTATTTTCTTGAAAAAGATCTGAAAATTTCTTCCTTAAAAAAATAAAAAATTTTGTTTAAAAACTTGTGAATCAAAATAAATATTAATCATAATGTCAAGAATAAAGATGAAAAAATAAACTAATATATTATTTAAAATTAAATTAAAAAAAAAATTGTAGAGCACTAGTATTCTCCATGGACTAAAAAAATGCAATGTGACCATCATCATGCGCACATAGCATAAAGATCATGCACCATCACTAATCTACATAATCATCTCCAGTGAACATAATTTAACAACATCAATACCTACAAAAAAATTATAATATATATAAATAAAATCTATTCTAAAATTTATCCACAAAATATATATTATCAACTTTGATAAGTACACGTGCAACTTTTAAAATCATATCATACACGTGTGCACGGTTACAATCATATACATATAACTATATATATATAT